CCGTAGAAGAAGAAAGCAAAAGGCGTGGAAGTTCGCCCCGTTAGCTCTCATGTGGATAGTTTGAGGGAGAGAAATAGGAGAGTTTTTGAGGGGATTGAGTTTCTTTTTCACATCTTAAGAATAGTCTTTTTTTGATCGCTTTTTGGTGTACTTATATAGCCCCTACTTGTATAGAAGATTGGACGTCATTTGTAGACGTCATGTTCTGATGTAAATTTTCTACTTTTTGGTATACTTCTTGTGAGTTTCTCCCTTTTGATTAATACAATTTACCTTAATAAAAAAAGATTAATTCAGTTAATAACTTCTGTAAGATATGCTCAATATATCCTTTATGATAGTGAAGGTTATGTTGGATGATTCCACAAGGAACATGGAGATTCAGCATTCAAGTGCTACTATGACTTTCTGTATTGTGAACTGTAACTTGCATAACTATAACTTCATGAAGGACACCTCTTTCACTCACTCACTCTTTCTACCTCTCTCATAAATTAGATTCGTCCCATATCACCAGTCAAATAAAGACAATAAAATTGCAACGAGTTGTAAGGGTCTATTTAAATGGGTTATCCTCAGCGAGGGGACCACTAGTCTCTCAGACTTGATAGAAGTTGGAAAAGTCTTTTTTTTTCTTTTGATAAGGTAAGATTTTATTAAAAACAGTTAGCTTGATACTGGGGAATCACAAAAAAGTTGGAAAAATCTCTTTATGGATGCTAGCAGCATCTTTGCCTAGTTCAAAGCAATATTATTCTTGTCAAAGTAATGATCTTTGCACTACAACATACAACTGCCACAAGGCCTTTTTAGATTCTTGTCGAGCCAACCTAGATTTTGAGTTAATCGATTCCATGTCTTAAAATTTCTTGGATGTTCTGAGAAATCCTTTTTGTGGTTCTGTGCTTGAGATAGGTGATGAATGTGGGGCTAAGCTCGGACTTGTAACTGCTTGCCTGTTGAAGGATGAGTATGCCATACATGGGTGGGTCCATTAAGGAGACCCTGGGAATGGCTTAAATATTTTTAAAGTTCTATGGATGACTAACCAGGCAGGATGCGCCGTTGAGAGACTTTAGTAACTATAGCATGTTGGCAACTGGGAGTGGTGGGCTCGGTAGTTAGAAACTATAAAGAATGATAAAAGAAGAGATGTTGTGAATGGATTGCTTGATTATTCCTTTAAGCATGTTGGGGTTTACATAGTGTTAAGTGTTTACAAGTAATCATGAAAAGGAAAAGAAAAAAAAGTATAGGAATGGATGAGGTACTTTGTTGTTGGACTGTGCTAAAGCCTTTGATTTGGTGATTGCCAACTCGTGTTTTCCGAAAAAGGAGGAGCACTTGGTTACATTCCGGAGTTCGTTGGCCAAGACTCAAAGGTAAGTTCTACAAGGTTGTAGTTAGACCGACTATGTTGTATAGAGCAGAATGTTGGCCGGTCAAGAACTTTCATATCTAGAAGCTAAAAGTAGCGGAGATGAGGATGTTGAGGTGGATGTGTGGGCATACCCGATTGGATAAGATTAGGAATGAAGTTATTCGGAAAAAGGTGGGAGTGACCCCTGTGGAGGATAAGATGCGGGAGGCGAGATTGAGATGGTTCGGACATGTTAAGAGGAGAAGTATAGAAGCCCCAGTTAGAAGGTACGAGCGGTTAGCCTCGGTGGGAAGTAGGAGGGATAGAGGTAGGCCTAAGAAGTCTTGGGCAGAGGTTATTAGGCAGGACATGACGCAGCTAGAGCTGACTGAGGACATGACCCTAGACAGGAGGGTGTGGAGGTCAAAGATTAGGGTAGAAAGTTCGTAGGTAGTCGAGCTATTCGCTTTGTCTTACTTAGTTCGCTAGCATTAGTGTTAGTATGATATCTTTAAATCATAGATGGCTATTACTACCTAGAGTTTGACTGCATTCTTGGATTCAATCTTATTTATCTTGCTGTTATTCCTACTTGTTGCAATTACCTTTTCTTTTTCAGTCGTTCTCTAGCCGAGGGTCTATTGGAAACAACCTCTCTGCCTTTCCAGGGGTAGGGGTAAGGCTGCGTACATCTTACCTCCCCAGGCCCACTTGTGGAAAACTATTGGGTTTGTTGTTAGTGAAAACCGTGTTCTTTATATCCATAGGTAGATGTTGTGCAGATTGATCCTTGCGGGTGGGGGAGGGATGGGTGTCCGACATGAATTCTTTGTGCCTTAGGTAGCTGAGGCGCCTCCCAATCTCATTATCAGAGGATTGGTTGGGAGATGGAAGGGCTTGGGAAACTGCAAGGTAGGTAGTTTGTCTTGAGCGCATGTAGCCTAAAGAAAACCACCCAGGTCAATAACTCCTTCCAACATGGGTCACTTGGCCTAGAAAAAAGGTCAAGTACAATCCCCTGTTCCATCAAAGGAAGCTGATCGCAACCTAGTATATTCCCGCAGGTGGGGCCTGGGGAGGGTAGTGTGTACGCAAGCCTTACCTCTACCTAGTGAAGTTAGAGAGGCTATTTCATTGCACTGGTCTTAATCTTTTCTTAAAAACCTGTCCATCTTTTATTTTGTTTGTAATCCTTGCAATTTGAGGCTCTTTTGTCATTGCATTGAGTAAAGCAAAATTGCTCGAACACGGGTGCAGGTGTCGGACACGGGTGCGGATCTAGACGTCGGATCCTTCGAGATGTAAATTCTAAGATTCGGGGATACAGATCCTAGTACGGATACGAATGCAGGATCCGGCTAAAAATAATTAAAAAAAATAAAAATATAAAAATATCTCATAATTGTGAAATACTTACGTATAGCTTGTAAAGTATAGATTTCTTTTTGTTTTCACAAGTTATAGATAAGTAAATGATTGATTTTCTAGATAAAGTGTGCTATTTCTTCAAATTTACCCTGGCTATGGCTCTAATTTCGGGAATCAAATCGTATCTCGTCTCCAATTTTTCCGTCCATCGTGGTCAAAGTACCCAAAATTATTTGATCAAATCCGGTACGGATTCCATACCTACACCCATACTAGTGTCGTGCCGACATGAGTGTGACGCCTAAACTGCCATGTTGGAGCAACTTAGGAGTAGAGGGTTGTAGCTCAAGCTTTATGTATCTCTCTCTATATTTTTGTATCAAGTAATAAAAATTTATTAACGTTTGAGCAAAAACTCCCGCACGCAAGAAGTAAAACCAAAAAGTAGAAAACCTACAAAAAAAATGATTTTCTACAAAATGATACCCAATCTTCTATACATAAACTCATAAAGGGATCTCATGGGTGCACCAGAAAAGAAATAAGGGATAAGAGGCTGCTCTTTAGTTGGACAAAATTCATCTCTATCCCTTCCATAGCTCTCCTAATTCTTTCTCCCCAAACAACCCACATAAGTGCTAGTGGAACCATAGTCTAAGCCTTGCTCCTATTTCGTCCACCACAATTCCGACGGAACATTATCTCTTTCATAGGGCTTGGCATCACCCAGAGGGTCCCGAACCATCCTCGAGTTTCCCACCATAACCTCGGAGCTACCCGGATATTGTAGGAGGAGATCGTCTACATGTTTCACCCGAGTCCTTACTCACGAAGCACCAACTGACATATTGAGCTTGCTCTTCCAAAGATTCTCGCTCGTCAAGATTATCCCTCTTGTTTCGAGCCTATGGATCCAAATTGATCTAGGTGGGAAGGCAACCTTCTTCATTATCAGCAACTTCTCATAATATGATTTAACAGAAACCTTCTCTCTCTATGTATGTGTATATTTATATATATCAAGCTGACTTGGAAATGCAGGTAGAAGTATATACTGTATTATAAAGTTAATACATTCCCTTAATATTGCCTCCATTTTACAAACATTTAATGCTCACATGAACAGGTTGAGTTGGCTGGTAAAAGTGCAGAGTCTGAGCTGTTCACAAATGATGAGCATCCTCAATATGAGATTTTAAAGGCAAGCAACCTCTATTTGTCTTTTAATTTAATTTTCTCTTGACATCCTTATTTATGGCATCTTTTTATTTGGTTATTAATTTATTCATTTCAGAGGGAAGTTTTCAAGTCCAGAAATAAGGAGGTTGTCCAACTGTTTGAACATGGGATTGGTATTCATCATGCTGGAATGTTACGTGCTGACAGAAACCTAACAGAAAGACTTTTCTCTCAGGGACTTTTGAAGGTATATTGTTCGCTTTTCCACTTATTCCCTTACATTTTTCAATCTTTTTGGGTTTCTTTTAATCTTTAAAAACCCTGGTCATTGTTAGGTCCTTGTTTGCACAGCAACTTTGGCATGGGGAGTCAATTTGCCTGCTCACACAGTTGTGATTAAGGTTTGTGAAATGCTTGTTCCTGACATATCTGTATCCTTTAAGAGGTTTTGGGTGTAATTTGATGAAGCATATTAAGAATAAACTTAGAGGATGCTTGCATTCCAGTTTTAATGCATGCTCTGCATTACTGTTTTATTTTGACTTGACTGCTATCTATCCAGCCTTAGATGACTATTTTGAGCTTGAGTTTGGTACCTGATTTGGGTTTAATTTAGATTGAGTTCAACTGGATCATTCTGCATTAAAGTTTGCTGTAGAATTAGTTAGCTCAAGTATGAAAAATCGTTTGTATCTTTATTTGCTATTCCAGCAATATAGGATGACTGTTTAAGCTGAGCTTCTAATATCTAGCACTATTGAAGAAGCGGAATTTTAACCATAAATACTAAAATAAATGTGCAGTTAAATAGGAGAATGAAAATCAACTTGCTTGACTTTGTTGTGATAATTTGAAACTTAGAATTCTATGTCCATTAAGATCTTTTGGTCCCTTATCTGGTTTTCAGTTTTGTTTTCATTTTCTCTTTGTGTATGTTTTTGTGCGTTTTATCACGGTTGAGCTTAGGCTTGAGAACTTGTTCAGTTTTTTTTGTTCAAACATCAAGGCCTTACCAGTTTAATTTGAAACTAGGAGATATATGCTTGACTTGATTGGATTGCATCGCTAACCTCCCATGTGGTTGTCCTTACTTCATTGCATGGTTCACTAAAATTAGTTGGATCTTGTATGTTGAAAAGACCACCTTCATCTGATTTCCTATCTTAACCATCAAATGAATTCCTATTCTTTTGATGGCGTATATTTTTTAAACAGTTTTTCAACTGATCAATTGAAAGTTATGGTTGTGTTCATATGTTGATGATTACAATATGATATTGGTATTATGCTAACTGAGCTCAACCATAATGTTAATATTTCCATTTGAATCATTTGTTATAATGTCTTGGACTTTGCATCTGATTAGAACTCAGCTCATGGAAGAAGCACAATGTAATATCCTGGATTAACTATGCACTCCATTGAGAGTGTTCTCCATTAGACCAAATGTTCCATTATGTTTTGGTCGCTAATTGTCTTAAATTTCACATAATATCTCTTGCTAACACAATTCATGGTGCTTGGTCCCTAGTTTCATCTGAAACATGTACAATATATGTAAATCATGTAGTAAACTTTGTTGAGTCAATTGTATTAATTGAAGCTTTTCACATTGTTTGTAAGTTAGTTTTGCAGCTTTTTTCAGTTGACATATTCTTTTGCGTGATAAACCCTGTGACGTTGTGAGTAAATACTTTAGCAATTCATCTCTCCAGGGAACTCAAATATATGATCCAAAGGCTGGTGGATGGCGAGATCTGGGTATGCTAGATGTTATGCAAGTAAGACTTAATTCTCCTTCTTCTTTGTGTTGCTATATCTTATTCGTTAGTAATGTTGATCGGCTCTCATTTATTGTGTTATTGTTTAATGTTCATCCCTGGTAGATCTTCGGACGTGCTGGAAGACCTCAATTTGATAAAAGTGGTGAAGGCATTATAATCACTTCACATGACAAGTTGGCCTATTATTTACGTCTATTGACAAGTCAACTTCCTATAGAAAGTCAGGTAAAGTTTTTATTCTATACCAATTCTAGACCTTTGTTGTCTATTTGTTTCCTATGTGCAGGCTGCAGATATTTGAATAATTCTCTGAATAATTCCCTCCTCTAACTGTTATAGACAATAACATGGTTATGTAAAAACTTGAAGCTTTTGTATCATCCTCAAGATTTCCTTAAAGCTCTCATATACCATAGTAGATGTTGCTTTTTTTACTTTTCCAGCAAAATAGTGAAAATAATTATCATGTTATCCATTTCCGTCTTTTGTAGATAGCTGTTTTGTTATTCATTTCCGTCTTTTGTAGATAGCTGTCATGTTAATCATTTCTGTCTTTTGTAAATATCTGTCAGTTTGAATGATAGGTCTAAAATATCGAAGTCCTTTCGGACAATATTTTAAGAGATTAGCTTCACTTGAAAAAAGTGGGTACTGGAGATTCCCAACTCTTTGCAATTTCTTATCTTCGTCAACACCAAAAACCATGCCTCAGTCCCAAACAAGTTGGTGTCAGCTATATGAATCCTTACTAACCATGTTTCTCCCATTAAAATTCATCTCAGGCAAGCATTGTTTATTTGACATTCTTTAAAGATTCGGTTCATTGACTCTTTTTCTGAACTTCTTATCTTGCAGTTTATCAATTCCTTGAAAGATAATCTAAATGCTGAGGTGGTACTGGGTACTGTAACAAATGTTAAGGAAGCTTGTGCTTGGCTTGGTTACACTTATCTTTTCATTAGGATGAAGATGAATCCTTTGGCCTATGGCATAGGATGGGATGAGGTATTTTTTTCATTTATTTTGGTTTGTAAATCATTGTAGACACATACTTTAGATTTATTTACATATTATCAGGGCATTTTAAACCCATGTATTCATCTATTCCAAAGTTGAAAAAGTACAAAAGCCCACAAGAATATGATAAGCTACCATGTCTTCAAAGTTGTCATGTACTTTTGGAAATCCTTTTGGAGTCTAGTACAATAGTTGTACACATAGTCATGCATTGTCCAGGTGCAGGGCGTTTAACTACATTCATCTTATTTTTGTGAACATAGAATAGTGTGAAATTTCTCTTTTTTTTTTATACTTCCTTTTCTTTTAGAAATGGAGGGTGATTGAAGTGTTGAATGCTTGAGAAATTAAATGTCCGTGTAGGTGAATTTAATGTACCGTATAAATATAAAGGAATTGATGGGTTATTAGACATGTGCATTAGTAATTGTGATTAAATGGGAGCACAATAATTTGATCTTTTATATTGAAGAAATACTTCAGATGAACAAGTCTTGCTTGGCCCCCTAGGCTCTTCAGTAGAAAGCTTTTCCCAACTGCCCCCTGTGACTCATTTAGTAGTCAGAAGCTGGTTCAATAATACACGTCCAGCAGCACTGAACTGTATTGACTCTGAAGCCATATATTTGGTGATGCATAGTTGGATGTCAAGACTACTCCAGAGGTTTTTTCACGTTGGCTTTTCTTGAATACAGCTTCAATTGTCACTAAATGACATTTATAAGTGTGTAAATGAAATGTTGTTTGTATTTGAAGATAAAACCAATTTGAGCTACTTGTTTTTGCAAGAGGTTTGGGGAAGCAGTTAAATGATGTTGCTATCACTATTTTTAGCTGAAGCTATCTTTTCTCTTTGGCAGGTCATGGCAGATCCATCATTAAGCTTAAAGCAAAGAGATTTTATAAGTGATGCTGCTCGTGCTCTTGACAAAGCAAAAATGATGCGTTTTGATGAGAAAAGTGGGAACTTTTATTGCACTGAGCTTGGTCGTATTGCAAGCCACTTTTATATCCAGTATACTAGTGTTGAAACTTACAATGAAATGTTGACACGCCATATGAATGAAAGCGAGGTACTTTGTTTCATTTGCCATCTCATTCAGTTGATGGATCATGAAATTTGCTTCTTTCAGTTATGGTCCTTTGCTGGTGAGAATGGAGTTGTCAGCAGGGAAAACTACTATCTACAGCTTGTTCTTAAGGCCACTGCTTACTATTTGTTTGGGCAACGCGTTCTTATTACTTGAGAAGGGTTACATCTACATATAGTTGATTCCTTGTATCTACTGTAGTAAATGTGCTCCAAAATTGGAATAATGGTCTTTAAGATAGAAAAGGAGTCGAATACAAAACCTGAACATAATAATTGTCATTGAAACTGTCTTTTTTAATTGATATTTTCCTAGGGATATCAGAGTAATTTGATGTGCATGCAGTGCTATTTTGGGAGTGATAATGAAAATCATTCCCAAACAGATATGATAAAGGTCATTCCCAAACAGATATGATAAAGGAATCTACATATAGTTGATTCCTTGTATCTACTGTAGTAAATGTGCTCCAAAATTGGAATAATGGTCTTTAAGATAGAAAAGGAGTCGAATACAAAACCTGAACATAATAATTGTCATTGAAACTGTCTTTTTTAATTGATATTTTCCTAGGGATATCAGAGTAATTTGATGTGCAGGCAGATGCTATTTTGGGAGTGATAATGAAAATCATTCCCAAACAGATATGATAAAGGTCATTCCCAAACAGATATGATAAAGGTCGGCATATTTTAGGAAATTATTGTTCAAAAGATACAGAATTTGCTGCTTGTCAGATAGAAATGATCCTCTGTTTCGTTCTGTGTGACACGCTTTTCCTTTTTTGTTGGTTTCACATTATTTGGCACATTCGTTTTACTTGTGTAACCCATTTATCAGCACAATGTCCAGCTTAAATTCTTATGCAGTATCACATCTGATGATGTTATTTATGGAAGAAAATTCATAGTGAACTTGAACAAGTAGAAGAATTTTTGTTCTAGCAGCAATTGACCTTAAAAGTAAGTGAAGTTTCTTCTTAGTATAAACTAAACACTAACCCATGTCCTGTAAAATAGGAAGGAAGTGAGCGTTCATTTTTCTCTAGCTAAAGTATTACTTCAATTGTATGTGTATAACATTTATCTAGGTAAGTTGCTATCTGTTCAAGTTTTATATGGCCCTCTTTGTTATGTTTCTTAATTGTGTGCTTCACAAAATAATTTCATTTAACAGTGACGAATTCTATGTGCTAGGTTTTGCCATCCATTGTTTTTTATTGTGTTTCCTCTGACATCTATGTTCTCACTGGCTTGTTAGTTGATAAGTATGGTAGCTCATTCTTCGGAATTTGAAAATATTGTGGTCCGAGATGAGGAACAAAATGAGCTTGAGATGTTGGCTCGCACATATTGTCAATTGGAAGTCAAGGGTGGTCCATCTAACAAATATGGAAAAGTTTCAATTCTTATTCAGGTCTTGGTTTGCTCTTTGTCCATTAAAAACTGTGTCGCCTCTCAGCATATAGTTTTTTAATTATGTCGATCGTATTTTTGCAGCTGTACATCTCTCGAGGATCAATTGACACGTTTTCACTAATCTCTGATGCGGCTTATATAAGTGCAAGCTTGGCTCGTATCATGCGGGCTCTTTTTGAGATTTGCCTCCGTAGAGGATGGTGTGAGATGTCTGCTCTCATGTTAGACTACTGCAAGGCTGTGGATCGCCAAATATGGCCCCATCTACATCCTCTTAGACAGTTTGACAGAGATATTTCATCAGAAGTTTGTTATCTCTAAATAATTTTCTGCTAAATAAAATTTCGATTAGTTTCAATATGTTTTAATTAAGAACTGGTGTGTCAGATATTGAGGAAGCTTGAAGAAAGGGGAGCTGATTTGGATCGTTTACAAGAGATGCAAGAGAAAGATATTGGAGCTTTGATTCGTTATGCACCTGGAGGAAAGGTAAATCATCTTTTACAGGTTTTGGTTTGAGGCATACCCTATGACCTTCAGTTAAAAGAGTGTTTCACAATTCCAGGTTGTTAAGCAATTTCTGGGATATTTCCCATTAGTCCAGTTGTCTGCTACAGTCAGTCCAATCACTAGAACAGTTCTGAAGGTGAATACATTTCTGCACTTGCTTTTGTTCTCTTGTTCTTGCTGAATTTTACTCCCTTTTTCCCAATACTGTCCAATTTCCTTCCTGGATAATCGAAAAAAATGTGTCCACTTTACTAAAACAATCTTTTTCCTACCACATTTTAGTACTTATCAATAGCATATGAGCAATAGGGTAACATGGTATCATCCTATATACCTAAAAAGCAAATTAATCATTAGTTAATTACTGTCTCTACCTGTGGGGCCACTTCTTCTTATGCAACTATACAATTAACGCCCGACCACTGGCTGGTCAAAGAAGAAAAACTCAGAATGAGGAGAATGAGATGGAGGAAGCGTTTATCTATTTCTTCTATTTTTATCAAATGCAAAGAGAAAGATTGTCATGAAGCTCCTTTATTAGGTTGTTAGCGGAAACGTAAAAGAAAGAACACAAGATTTAACGTGGTTCGGATCAAAATAATC